TTATTGTAAGTATTTGTATGTTTATAAGCATATGTTTGATTTGAATTTTTATTATGATTTCTATTATTATTTCCCCTATTCGCACGGTCATTGTTATTCTTTTGGAAGCCTGAATTTTGGGGGTTTGACTGATTTATCGGACCATTGTAATTTTTGTTTCTATCGGAGAAGGTGTTTTCATAAATTCCTTCTCTCTGAGCCACTTGTTTCAAGTGTGAAACTGTACTTATATCGTACCTTGTTAACACCATGAACAACCTATCTGGCAATTTTCTTGTAATCACATCTTTAACTGTTTTGTTTAAGGCACTTGTATACAAAGCCGTGTTTCTAGTATCATCTTCTAATATTAGCTTATTTATAATTAAAAATGATTTGTATTCAAGTTCTTCCACAAACTTACGGATGCTTCCATTAAACTGGGTGTTGTAGAGTCGTCTCAGCAGATCTTCGAAGGGGGTTTGTGTTTTGAATTCTGATATCAAAACTGTCTTCAGTTCGAGCCATGAAGCTGGTGCTGCAAATTGGGTTACTCGTTGGGCATCTCCTGTGACCTGCATCTCAATTGCTCCAAATATGACACTACGTTGTCTCACGTCTGCGGTTACGTAGAGTCGCGTGATGAAATCGATCCTCCTGATGAAAGCGCTCAATTCTTCTGTAGCTCCGTTGAACATAGGCACCTGCCTAATCTGTCCGAGGGCTTGATTCAGATGCAACTCTGAGAGAGCGGATGTGGAGTCTGCGTTTGTTGCCATTTTTTGTTGGTTTTATTTGTTTCACTTATAATTTGTTGTTCTTGGATTTTGTTTTAATTGTAATTAGTTGTTGTGTTTTGACCAGGGACTTCAGTTGTCCTTTAATGGTCGTTAGTCTGTGTGACACTTGTCGCAAAACCGAAGTAAGTCCGATTAAGTTGTGATATTACACTCAATTGTGCGCGATGATCAGAAAGAATCCAGTCATTTGGAATTACTTTCTTTATTGATCATATCACTCACGAACTTTTTTAATTCTTCGTTTACACACTACGCACACGTGGGTTCTTTAGCGGATATATTCAGCGAATAATTCAATTATATTGAATGAACAGATGCTGCAAAGGCATTAGCACTATTAACATTCACAATGAATTCCTTTTATCGGTCCAAGGATAATGTTAGAATCCTTATGTAGCGATCACTTTATTCACTTTAAATATATCCTACCGACTGCGCCAATTAAATATTCAACACGAAATTGGTCGAAAAAAATAGGTTTAATTTCTTATTCAACACAACATTTATTGAATTATTTGGAGAATTACACTTATACGAACTTAAAGATAAGAACATAGTTCGATCCGTACTGTTTAAACGCAAATATAAGACTCAATGTTCTAAGTTCCGTGATTGCTTAGCAAACCTCGGCTTAGAGCTTTTTTCCTGGGCAAGAGCTTTTTAGTCGCGATGGCAATTGGACTTTACTCGTCCTGAATTTGAGCCGCGTTGGCAATTTGGTGAGAACCTAAATTTGCTTATAGCCCGAATTGGAGCCGCGTTGGCAATTTGGTGAGAACCTAAATTTGCTTATAGCCCGAATTTGAGCCGCGTTGGCAATTTGGTGGGAACCTAAATTTGCTTATAGCCCGAATTTGAGCCGCGTTGGCAATTGGCAATATATATATATATATATATATATATATATATATATATATATATATATATATATATATATATATATATGTGAATTATCATTATTATGTAGTTTATTAATATTATATAAGTTCAATCCAAATTAAAGTAAGGCGTACAAAGATATATTTAAACAACTGCGACGGGATAAGACCTCGGTAACGGCTTGCTTCACGACTGACTATGAACGGCTGAACACGACTGCTTTCTTGCGACCGACTCACGACTGCTGCTGCTGACGACTGCTGTAAGACTGCTGACTGCTGTAAGACTGCTGATCCTCTTGATTGCTACACTATTATTCTATGTCTCCTTCTCAAACTTTCTATGTCTGCTTCTCGAAAGTTCGACTGCTGTTTCTCTCCGACTTCTTACTGCCGATAAACTGTCAATGCGGGCGCCTTTGCCAACCAAAGCACCGTTACCATTCTTACATTCGGCCATCCTGATCATTCATCTGTCCCAGATGACCAGCCACATTCGTTGTCGACCACATATCTCCATAATTTTATACAATCACAGCTTGTTGATGTGTTTGTTGGGCCTTCCGCACCTGCTGTCTTCCGGACGTCGTATCTTCCGTTTCGCTTGACCTTTGTGATCTCATATGGTCCTATATATTCGCGTGCCAGCTTCTTCCCAGCCACAAACTGGGTACGGCGTATGGCTACTAGGTCCCCGACTTTGTATACTTGCTCAATTTTGCGCTTCGTGTCATATTGTTTTTTATATGCGTCCTGAGCCCGCTGAATATTCATTTTCGCATTTTGCCGCATTAACTGTCGCTCAGCATCGAAAGCATCGTACATCTCCATCTCAAGTAAGTTTGATACATGCTGACTGGGGATGTTATTCATTTTTACTCCGAACATGAGCTCAAATGGCGACCTCTTTGTCGAAGCGTGGACGTGAGAGTTAATGGCCTTCTGCACGCTTGGTACAAACTTATACCATTTAGACGGCTCCTCGGATGACAGCTTTGAAACGACGGATAATATAGACCGATTTACACGCTCAACTTGACCGTTCCCTCTTGGCACTCCTGTTGTGCTCCATACGTGTTCAATACTATTTTCTTTAACGTACTGCTCAAAAATGTTCGACGTAAACGCACTGCCACGATCAGTAATAATTCGACAGGGATTCCCAAACATGCTAGCCCAAAGCTCCAATCTTTTTAAAGTTTCCTCGGCATTGGTTGTCTTTGTGGGAAAAAGACCAACGAATTTGGAAAATGCATCCACAACGGCGAAAATATATTTGTACTGCTTGCAAGTGGCGTCCATAGGACCCAAGTGATCTGCATGAAGAGTTTGAAGCGGCTTATCCCCTTTATCGATGCAGCTCAAGTAACCTTCTTTTTTACCAAGCTTTTTATTATAAATGATGCATTTAATACAGTTGCTGATGACGTGGTTTACTTTTTGCTCCAAGTGTGGTATCCAGTAGGTCTGCTGTACGGCGTGCATAGTTTTTTGTACTGCGAAATGACCGGCGTTGTGAGCTTCCGTAATGACTTCCCTTTCCAACGCTTTTGGAACAACTAACAGATCGTTGCCGAGTACTACCTTGTAAATCAATCCGCCTTTCGCCTTAAAGTCCTCGTATGGCCTATTTTTAAGTATCTCTGCGACTGCTCTAATCATTGTGTCGTTTTCTTGTGCTCTTTTGATTCGTGCTGTTATTTCCATAGTCACAATCATTACACGCTGCGGATAACGGCTTAAGCAATCAACGTGTTTTAGCCTCTCACCGGGTCGATGCTCCACCTCGAAATCAAAATCTTGCAGGTAAATGACCCATTGGACTACCTCGCGTGGGACATCTTTCTTCTGCAGCGTCTGTTTAAATGCAGCACAGTCGGTTATCAAGCGAAATTTTATTCCCAACAAGTAGTGGCGAAACTTCTTTAACGCAAGATAAATGGCTTTAGCTTCTAATATATAGCTATGACGAGCAGCCTCAGCTTCAGTTGACTTTTTACTCCAGAAGTAGACTGGGTAAAGTTTGTCATCAAACCACTGCATTAAGACTGCACCAAATCCTTCTTTTGATGCATCTGTGTGAACTTCAGTTCTGGCACCTCGATCGTACAGCCTCAAAATAGGTTCTTGTATGAGTGCATTTTTCAACGTTTGAACTGCTTCAAGTTCCTCAGCCTCCATCCGGAATACAGCATCTTTGCGCAGCAGATTAGTTAAAGGCCTAGCAATGTCAGCATACCCTTTAATAAATTTTCTAAAAAATCCGGTAAGTCCCAAAAACGACTGCACTGCTTTTATATTTTTCGGCACTGCGAATCTGCTGACTGCATTCGTCTTCTCTTCTCCTGGCCACACGTATCCATCCTTAATAAAATGACCCAAGAAATTTACAGTCTTTTGCAGAAAATGACATTTTTTCCACTTTATTTGAAGTCCATAAGCAGCGGCTGTTGTAAAGACCATCCTCATTTTTTCCATACATTCGTTGACTGTTACTGCATGAATTATGATATCATCCATATACAAGTCTAAGACATCAGCGTTTAAAAGGTTTTGAAATACGCATCTGACATAGCGCATAAATGCAGCCGGCGAGTTGCAGAATCCAAAAGGTGCACGGTTAAACTCGTAAAGTCCATTCTTAGTCACAAAAGCTGTGTATTTCTTACTGGTTTCGGCGATGGGCACATGGAAAAACCCATTTTCCAAATCCATGACGGTGAACCACTTCGCGTTATGCAGCTTTTCCAGCACGTTATCAATTATCGGCACAGGAAAACAATCCTTCAATACCATTGAATTTAGCTTCCGGAAATCGACGCATATACGATGAGAACCATCTTTCTTTTTAACCAAAACGATGCGGCTGGCGAAATTTGAAGATGACTGCCGAATAATGCCTGCGTCAAGCCACTCCCTTATTTGCTTGTTGACTACTTCATCCTCAGTGATAGAGAGACGACTGGGCGACTGGCAAAACGGAGCAATTTCTCCATCGGGTACAATATGCAGCATAACTGGAAACTCTTCAACCGACTGACTCGGCTTATAATTGTTGATCATCGAGCGCACGACATTTTCATACTGTAACGGTACATCTATATCAGAATCTGTACACGTCAAATTGCATATACTTATCTGATTAATGTTGTCACAAGCTTTCTCCCCCAACAGGGAAGAAAACTTGTATCCATCGGCCGATGACGTAAAGTTGAATTGGCTAGTAAAGTCGTAGCCCAGCAGAGCATCATATTCCACATCTCGATCAGCAACAACCACGAATTTGTGAGATATCTTCTCCTCATCGACTGCAACTTCTGCGTCAAAACTGCTCACAGGACGAGTAATATTGTTGCCCAAGCCACGCAGGTTTGAAAAGCAACTACGCAACTGAACATTGTTAATCTGGTTGTAAACACGCTTCTTCATAATTGAGACATCAGCTCCTGTGTCGACTAGGCAGTTCACTTTGATGTTGTTCACCTGTACCACTTTAAAACGCTTTTCATCACGCACGACATGCACGGCTGGCGCTGCTACTGCTGGACAATTTCTGGACATATGTCCACTCTGGTTACAGCGGAAACACTTTGTAGCGGCTTGGCAATTCTTTCGTAAATGATCGGTGGATCCACAGTTGAAGCAATGATTCTTCTTTTCGGCACTGTCTGGATATACTTTTCGGTTCGGCTGAAATGGTTTCTTGTCAACTTTGTCTTTTTCAAATACACGCTCGTACACTTCATACTGCTCCTGCAGCTCTCTAAACGATTTGCAACTGTACAGAGTATACTTAAAGTCGCTCTTCATTTGCAGCCCATCAACAACATATCGTATTACTGATTGCGTGTCAATGTCTCCAATTGCAGCAATCTTCTTCATTTGAAGCATGTATTCGTGAAATGACTCCTGTTTGGATTTGCGACACTCACGCAGCTCGGTATGAATATCTGCACTACACTTATAGTCGCACTTAAATTCTTCCTCTAAAAGCTTCTTGAGTTCAGCATATTCAAACACATGTGTTGACTCCAAAAACAGCTGGGCAGTGTTCGTCATTTTTGCACGTGCCTGGACATACTTTTGCTTTTCGTTAAGCCCGTATGCATCTGCGTTCAACTCGAAATTTCTGAACCAGAACTTCGCCGGCATATTTTTTCCATCAAACTCAGGGATAATTTTTGCAAAGCTCTCTGCCACAATTGTGCAATCATTTTTGGTTCGTTCGTCAATTTCTATTTTCAACGACAGGAGCTGAACTAGTTCTTGAAGCGTTTTATTGCTGTCTGCTACGGAACTTCTCTCTGTTTTGGGCTGCTGTTCGGTTCTCTGATCCCGAACCAGCGCAATGCTTCCTTTATCTCCGCTTTCATTGTTTATTTTTGCAACCGTTGGCGCCTGAGTCAGTTGCACGTTCTGTTGTTGAGTCTCGTTCATTCCTTGGTTACGTGCTGATGCTTGACGGGTATACAGTGGTCTCGCTCGCACTTGTATTGGCGGCTTTTTCGGCTGTTGCTTCTTCACTTTACATCCACTCATGAAATGTACAGTTATTTACCGACAGCACAAAATATTTTACAACCTTGAAATATTTTCAGCATCAACTTTTGCCATTTGCAAGACGACATTCATTTTTATTTAAACAGTATATTAACGATTTTAACAACTTTTATAAAACAATCTGTCCTCTTTTTTTTTTTTAAAACACACTTCTGAGACTTTTTCTTTCCACACAGCTTCTACGCTTTTACTTATTATTGGACCCGGTTGAGCCCCCAAATGTGAATTATCATTATTATGTAGTTTATTAATATTATATAAGTTCAATCCAAATTAAAGTAAGGCGTACAAAGATATATTTAAACAACTGCGACGGGATAAGACCTCGGTAACGGCTTGCTTCACGACTGACTATGAACGGCTGAACACGACTGCTTTCTTGCGACCGACTCACGACTGCTGCTGCTGACGACTGCTGTAAGACTGCTGACTGCTGTAAGACTGCTGATCCTCTTGATTGCTACATTATTATTCTATGTCTCCTTCTCAAACTTTCTATGTCTGCTTCTCGAAAGTTCGACTGCTGTTTCTCTCCGACTTCTTACTGCCGATAAACTGTCAATGCGGGCGCCTTTGCCAACCAAAGCACCGTTACCATTCTTATATATATATATATATATATATATATATATATATATATATATATATATATATATATATATATATGATATATATGATGACGTGGTTTACTTTTTGCTCCAAGTGTGGTATCCAGTAGGTCTGCTGTACGGCGTGCATAGTTTTTTGTACTGCGAAATGACCGGCGTTGTGAGCTTCCGTAATGACTTCCCTTTCCAACGCTTTTGGAACAACTAACAGATCGTTGCCGAGTACTACCTTGTAAATCAATCCGCCTTTCGCCTTAAAGTCCTCGTATGGCCTATTTTTGAGTATCTCTGCGACTGCTCTAATCATTGTGTCGTTTTCTTGTGCTCTTTTGATTCGTGCTGTTATTTCCATAGTCACAATCATTACACGCTGCGGATAACGGCTTAAGCAATCAACGTGTTTTAGCCTCTCACCGGGTCGATGCTCCACCTCGAAATCAAAATCTTGCAGGTAAATGACCCATTGGACTACCTCGCGTGGGACATCTTTCTTCTGCAGCGTCTGTTTAAATGCAGCACAGTCGGTTATCAAGCGAAATTTTATTCCCAACAAGTAGTGGCGAAACTTCTTTAACGCAAGATAAATGGCTTTAGCTTCTAATATATAGCTATGACGAGCAGCCTCAGCTTCAGTTGACTTTTTACTCCAGAAGTAGACTGGGTAAAGTTTGTCATCAAACCACTGCATTAAGACTGCACCAAATCCTTCTTTTGATGCATCTGTGTGAACTTCAGTTCTGGCACCTCGATCGTACAGCCTCAAAATAGGTTCTTGTATGAGTGCATTTTTCAACGTTTGAACTGCTTCAAGTTCCTCAGCCTCCATCCGGAATACAGCATCTTTGCGCAGCAGATTAGTTAAAGGCCTAGCAATGTCAGCATACCCTTTAATAAATTTTCTAAAAAATCCGGTAAGTCCCAAAAACGACTGCACTGCTTTTATATTTTTCGGCACTGCGAATCTGCTGACTGCATTCGTCTTCTCTTCTCCTGGCCACACGTATCCATCCTTAATAAAATGACCCAAGAAATTTACAGTCTTTTGCAGAAAATGACATTTTTTCCACTTTATTTGAAGTCCATAAGCAGCGGCTGTTGTAAAGACCATCCTCATTTTTTCCATACATTCGTTGACTGTTACTGCATGAATTATGATATCATCCATATACAAGTCTAAGACATCAGCGTTTAAAAGGTTTTGAAATACGCATCTGACATAGCGCATAAATGCAGCCGGCGAGTTGCAGAATCCAAAAGGTGCACGGTTAAACTCGTAAAGTCCATTCTTAGTCACAAAAGCTGTGTATTTCTTACTGGTTTCGGCGATGGGCACATGGAAAAACCCATTTTCCAAATCCATGACGGTGAACCACTTCGCGTTATGCAGCTTTTCCAGCACGTTATCAATTATCGGCACAGGAAAACAATCCTTCAATACCATTGAATTTAGCTTCCGGAAATCGACGCATATACGATGAGAACCATCTTTCTTTTTAACCAAAACGATGCGGCTGGCGAAATTTGAAGATGACTGCCGAATAATGCCTGCGTCAAGCCACTCCCTTATTTGCTTGTTGACTACTTCATCCTCAGTGATAGAGAGACGACTGGGCGACTGGCAAAACGGAGCAATTTCTCCATCGGGTACAATATGCAGCATAACTGGAAACTCTTCAACCGACTGACTCGGCTTATAATTGTTGATCATCGAGCGCACGACATTTTCATACTGTAACGGTACATCTATATCAGAATCTGTACACGTCAAATTGCATATACTTATCTGATTAATGTTGTCACAAGCTTTCTCCCCCAACAGGGAAGAAAACTTGTATCCATCGGCCGATGACGTAAAGTTGAATTGGCTAGTAAAGTCGTAGCCCAGCAGAGCATCATATTCCACATCTCGATCAGCAACAACCACGAATTTGTGAGATATCTTCTCCTCATCGACTGCAACTTCTGCGTCAAAACTGCTCACAGGACGAGTAATATTGTTGCCCAAGCCACGCAGGTTTGAAAAGCAACTACGCAACTGAACATTGTTAATCTGGTTGTAAACACGCTTCTTCATAATTGAGACATCAGCTCCTGTGTCGACTAGGCAGTTCACTTTGATGTTGTTCACCTGTACCACTTTAAAACGCTTTTCATCACGCACGACATGCACGGCTGGCGCTGCTACTGCTGGACAATTTCTGGACATATGTCCACTCTGGTTACAGCGGAAACACTTTGTAGCGGCTTGGCAATTCTTTCGTAAATGATCGGTGGATCCACAGTTGAAGCAATGATTCTTCTTTTCGGCACTGTCTGGATATACTTTTCGGTTCGGCTGAAATGGTTTCTTGTCAACTTTGTCTTTTTCAAATACACGCTCGTACACTTCATACTGCTCCTGCAGCTCTCTAAACGATTTGCAACTGTACAGAGTATACTTAAAGTCGCTCTTCATTTGCAGCCCATCAACAACATATCGTATTACTGATTGCGTGTCAATGTCTCCAATTGCAGCAATCTTCTTCATTTGAAGCATGTATTCGTGAAATGACTCCTGTTTGGATTTGCGACACTCACGCAGCTCGGTATGAATATCTGCACTACACTTATAGTCGCACTTAAATTCTTCCTCTAAAAGCTTCTTGAGTTCAGCATATTCAAACACATGTGTTGACTCCAAAAACAGCTGGGCAGTGTTCGTCATTTTTGCACGTGCCTGGACATACTTTTGCTTTTCGTTAAGCCCGTATGCATCTGCGTTCAACTCGAAATTTCTGAACCAGAACTTCGCCGGCATATTTTTTCCATCAAACTCAGGGATAATTTTTGCAAAGCTCTCTGCCACAATTGTGCAATCATTTTTGGTTCGTTCGTCAATTTCTATTTTCAACGACAGGAGCTGAACTAGTTCTTGAAGCGTTTTATTGCTGTCTGCTACGGAACTTCTCTCTGTTTTGGGCTGCTGTTCGGTTCTCTGATCCCGAACCAGCGCAATGCTTCCTTTATCTCCGCTTTCATTGTTTATTTTTGCAACCGTTGGCGCCTGAGTCAGTTGCACGTTCTGTTGTTGAGTCTCGTTCATTCCTTGGTTACGTGCTGATGCTTGACGGGTATACAGTGGTCTCGCTCGCACTTGTATTGGCGGCTTTTTCGGCTGTTGCTTCTTCACTTTACATCCACTCATGAAATGTACAGTTATTTACCGACAGCACAAAATATTTTACAACCTTGAAATATTTTCAGCATCAACTTTTGCCATTTGCAAGACGACATTCATTTTTATTTAAACAGTATATTAACGATTTTAACAACTTTTATAAAACAATCTGTCCTCTTTTTTTTTTTTAAAACACACTTCTGAGACTTTTTCTTTCCACACAGCTTCTACGCTTTTACTTATTATTGGACCCGGTTGAGCCCCCAAATGTGAATTATCATTATTATGTAGTTTATTAATATTATATAAGTTCAATCCAAATTAAAGTAAGGCGTACAAAGATATATTTAAACAACTGCGACGGGATAAGACCTCGGTAACGGCTTGCTTCACGACTGACTATGAACGGCTGAACACGACTGCTTTCTTGCGACCGACTCACGACTGCTGCTGCTGACGACTGCTGTAAGACTGCTGACTGCTGTAAGACTGCTGATCCTCTTGATTGCTACACTATTATTCTATGTCTCCTTCTCAAACTTTCTATGTCTGCTTCTCGAAAGTTCGACTGCTGTTTCTCTCCGACTTCTTACTGCCGATAAACTGTCAATGCGGGCGCCTTTGCCAACCAAAGCACCGTTACCATTCTTATATATATATATATATATATATATATATATATATATATATATATATATATATATATATATATATATATATATATATATATATATATAAGAATGGTAACGGTGCTTTGGTTGGCAAAGGCGCCCGCATTGACAGTTTATATATATATATGCTCTGCGCTGGTGACAGTGTGAGCGCG